CCTCCGTGAGAGAGCAGCTTAGTCCAGTAGTCTGACCCCTCACCCCCCTCACCATGGGCCTAGCCCAGCTAGTTTTTCTGACTGCATCCCCCCACCTCACTTCCTCGTCGAAACTAGGCTGAGTGGGGTGTGATCCCACTTCTAGACCCCCCCCCAGTGGGCATCTGAAGCCCAGGAGCCATGGGAATGGTTGCCCGGGGCCTGCACCTCCCCAATCCTCCACTCATATCCATGCCCACGTATTTTATGTATCCCTGTAGAGGAAGGGGTCACCTGTGTGCACTTGTGACAGTGTGTGGTTGTGTGTACAGGCCCACACCCCCAGACATGCACATGTATGTGCGCAAGCCTGCTTACATGAGTGGGAGTAGTACATCCCAGTGGGGGTGTCTGTGGACACACAATTGCACATAGTCCCCTGCCTGAGTGCTGGCCTCCTTCCTGGCAGTCTCCAGCCACATTTGCCACACCCTCTGCACTGCCCTGCCATCTCTTTTCCCAGACCCAGCTTTGTCTGCCCTTAGTCCCCCACCCCCACCAGCCTCTCCCAATGAGCTGGTGGGATTGTCACCTCAGACCGAGCCCTTGGGTGGAAGGTGGGGATGAAATGTCCTTCCTGGTTTGCTGTTTCAGTTAGAACACAAGGACTTCCATGAGGCTAAAGAAGGTTACCCCTTCTTGGGTGAACTTAGTGGAGGCCTTTGAACCTCCTTTCTTTGCCTCCCCTGTCCCTGCTCACTCTACTTGTGTTGGGACAGCTCAGGCCAGAGGTGGAAGAACGCCCATGGAGACCTTCAGTGGCGTCCTCTGCTGTGTGTGTATGTGTGTGTTTTAACCTGGAATTTGTACTTGCTTGTAGCTTGGCATACAGATTGCCTGACCCTGTGATATTTGCAGTCCTGAGAACCTCACTCCCTCCTTTCCCAATGCCCAAGCAGGCAAAAGAGACCAATTGTTTACTTTTCACACACACACACACATACTCTCTTTCTCTCTCTCCAACTTCCTTATCCCTCAGGGCTCATCAGTTTTTTTCCTCACTCCCTCCCA